ATTGTTATGCGTATCGTCGTTAGAAACATATAGAATGTGTGTTTTGCTGTCTCTCTCTCTCTCTCGCCTGAGGCGAAGAGGCCCTAATGCCAACAAGCAACTCAACTCGCCGAAAGGGGTGGGCGATCGTTTCCGAACGGGCACCGGTGCCAAGAACGGGAAGGGGGGGGATTTCAGGGGGGAAAGACTTTGCGTATCACTCCCTCCCGTCCTTTCCCATTGTGCCGGATTCTACTGTATCCGCCGATGCGTGTCCTGGCGGACCTTGGTCCACAAACTGACCCAATCGTATGATGCGCAATCAGAAAAGGAACCTGTGTGCATTGGACGAAGAGGCGGATGAGCAAGGCCGTGAAAATGAGGAAGAGGAGTGGGTCTCAACTCCAAAACCGCCGCATATTCGACCACTTAGAGGCAGGGGGCACAGTGCAAGCGGTGGGCCTGGGTCCGCTTCACCGCCACGCGGAAGGCTGACCAACCCAGGACCCCCCGACCACGGGTGGCCAAGCCTGGACCTGACCAGACCTGGACCCCCCGACCGCGAGCTCGACGAGCACCGTGACGACGGTCACCCGACCCCGTGGGCGACGGACGTCGCCCGCTGCATCAGGGCACGCCGCCGCTCCGCGTCCACCAAGTCTGACTCGACGAGGACCCCCGGCGCAGAGGAAGGCGAGGGAGCAAACGCGGACGCCTCGGCACCACCAGCAGCGCCAGCCACCGGCTCTGTCGGCGGACGCGCCGCCACCACGTCGCGCTGCAGCCCGTCCGCCCAGCTGCCGTCCTCGAGGTCGAGGTCCCTCAGCTCCGCAGCCGTGGCCGCGCACGCGAGCGCAAGGCCCGTGGGCGGCTCGCCAGCAGCAGCCCCAGCGCCAACATCCGCCACAGCGGGAGGCGCCTCCGCAGCGTCACGCCGCCGCGCCGCAAGGCGCTGGCGGCGGCGTCGCCGCCGCCCAACCTTTGCCGCCGAAGCAGCGGGCGTAGCAGCAGCAAAAACTCCAGGAACTCCACCAACAGGCACGGCATCCCCCCTTCTGCCTGGGCACCGCCTCCTCCGCGCCCGCGAAGAAGGCGGTGGAGATAACAAAACGGACGACGGCGGCAACCGTGTGCCGTGGAGCGCGCGCGCGAGAACCGCGGCGCGGACGGCGGCTTCCACGAGGGTGTCACGCCGTAGGCCGAGGCAGCCCCTCTAGGCCTCGGCATCCCGCAGCGCTCCGACGACGAGACGACGGGTCCACGAGGCGAGGCATTGCGATCGCTTGAGCCACGACGGCTTGAGCCAAACTGGCTTGAGCCAAAATGGCTACGGAGGGGACGGCGGAGGAGGAGAAAGGAGGAAAAGGAATAGGCTATACCACGTAGTGGTCAAGAGGATTTCAGCTGCTGGCCGCGAAGAGCTTGCTCGTCTTTGCTGAGCTGATTCGGCCACGGCCCCTGCTCGACTCGTGACAAGCATGCAACTCGGTGGGATTCCAGCTGCCGACACCATGGAGCTGGACACGTGGCCCACGCTGGGGCGAGAACTCCACTCTAAACGACGGGAGCACCGCGCGAATCCTGGAATGAGGCCAGCGCTGCAGCGGGAACACCATCCTGAAAGGACCAAACACGCCCAGGAACACATCATTCTGGCCATCGCTCGGACGTCCATTCCCTGTGCTTTTTTTCGGTTTCGTGCGTGGCTTTTTCGCCAGATGATCAAGGATGTTCCTCGATGGTCCTCGCCGAAGGAAAACTGCACACGTCCGAGCGATGCCAAGCAGAGGGGTGCGGGAGGGGAACGGAACGGGGGGCGGTTTCAAACAGATCCCTGGGCCCTCGCCGCTACTGGAGCCAGTGGGGTTGTCTTCGACACCTGCTTCCAACGAGCCCGCTGCCGGACCCGCGGCAGAGCGGATGCGTACCCGATGAAGCGGGGAGGGGTGCGTGAGCGTCTGGTGGACGGGCGTCTGGCAGGGGGAGGGATGGGGGAGGGTGAAGAACTTGGAAACAGGCAGAGCGAGATGGAGGAGAAAGGAAAAGACGGCGGAGAGGCAGGGAGAGGATGCGGAGCAGGAACGGGCGGAGGAATGAGCCATGATGAGAGGGCGGAGGGGAACACTCCTCATGAGAACGCCACCTCTGCGGACAAACGCCAAGGCCGAACTAAGACCGAGTGGGTGTGTCCGCGACCTCGGAATTATGCCTGCTTCTGTGTCACGCGAGACCTCCTAAACAAACACCTATATGGCAGTGGGAGAACAGAAGGAAGATATACGCAGCACCCCGCAGATGCGGATAAGAGTGAGGGGGCGGTGGGGACGTCGGCAGTTTGCGAGACTCTGGAGAAGCCCGCCACAGGCGCCAAAGTTTTCACAAATTATACAACGAGCCCGCCGCAGGCGCCGATTTTTTTAGCTATACCAATGTGGGTAGGTCGCGGGTGGGTCGCGGGTGGGTCGCGGGGTGGGTCCGGGGTGGGTCGCGGGTGGGTCGCGGGCGGGTCGCGGGTGGGTCGCGGGTGGGTCGCGGGTGCAGAGGGCAGAAAAACCATCCCATAATAATCAGCCCCGCAAGCGAAGCCGTTTAGTAAACGCACACAAGGGATGAATCGAACAGGGCAAAATTGTTTAGTCAATGCCCAAAGCCGTTTTAGTAAAAGCTAAATGTCGGGTCCGGGTGGCTTTTCCTCCCTTGAAGGTGGGTCGCGGGTGGGTCGCGGGTGGGTCTCGGGGTGGGTCGCGGGTGGGTCGCGGGGTGGGTCGCTGGTGGGTCGCGGGTTGGTCGCAGGTGCGTCGCGGGTTGGGTCTCGGGTGGGTCGCGGGTTGGGTCGCGTGTGGGTCGCGGGGTGGGTCGCGGGGTGGGTCGCGGGGTGGGTCGCGGGGTGGGTCGTGGGGTGGGTCGTGGGGTGGGTCGCGGGTGGGTCGCGGGTGGGACGACGACAACAAACAAAAACAACAACAACAACGACGACGACGACAACAACAACGCAACAAGCAGAATTCTCGCCACGAATTCCTTATTCAGCCACGCACCCAGGGGCAATGCATGACCGTTCGGCCCCCTCACTCTGACATGTTTGGCCCTAAAAATTGGAGCCGATGAGTTGGTGACACGGGTGCTCGCCCACGGCTGGTGATGGCGGCGTGCATTGTGTCTGCCGTTTGCCTGCTGCGCTGTTCAATATTCTCGTGTGATTGATGGTGTGATGTAGTCTCGCTCCGGGGCCGACGTCGTCACTTTTCGCAGAAGGTTACAAATGTCGGGCGTACGTCTGGAGGTCTCTAGCACACGAGATTGACGAGAATAACGTCCAACATTTATGTTGGCCTCCGTGCTGTCGCAAGTCTTCCAATCGCGGGTTGCCGCTGGGCTGCCACTGCCCTCCAAATGGGCATGGCTCTGTGATGACTATCGGCCTTCGAAGCTATGTGCCGTGACAAGCGTATCTGCATCACCAACCATCTGTCGAGGTGGTACTGCTTCGTGTGTTGCTCTGCGTTCCGCGTCGTTCATGTATTCGACCTCCCATACTTGGCATCCACGTGTCGTTGTCGTTGCTATCCTGGCTGTGCCAATCTGGTGTTGCAAATGTGCTGTGCTGTAACTGATTGCTGTCTACATCGACGCTAGCGCTGCTAAAACGTGAACCGTGCTTTGCGCTTCGTTGATCACGCTGTGGGCTGCCGTCGTGTCTTGGCTGTTGCGGGGGAATTATTGGTGGATGGTGCGTCGTCTGGACACCTAGGGTAATCATGCGTCGTTGCTCTCGCTTTTGATTGCATTGGAGTTTTGCGACTGTCCACGTCTTTGCGCCATCGAGCGCTGCTGCGGTGAACTTTCAGTTGAACGCCAGAATCGGTAAGACTGCGGGTAGCGTCTGTTGGCCAACTCCTGCCTATCCGGTGTAAACATCGCCCGTGCGGTTCTTGTGCGGGATGGACTTCCGCGTCCATCGGCCTGTGGAGGCTGATCGCGTGGCCGAAGTGTTCGATACTTCCGTCCTGCGTTGCGAGTTTGACGTTGGCGTCCTCGGTATGCACAATGCGTGGGCTCGCCCTCCCCGCGCGCGGCGTCAAATTCCTCAGAATACTGGCCCTGTTTGAGTGCATCTGGAGTCCGTATGGTTTTGCTGCCGTGCCGATGCCGCCTAGCGTCGCTGAGGCGTGCATAACATTCTCTGGCCTGGGGCATGACGCTGGGAACACGCAGGCTGGTGGGCCTTCTGGAGGATGCATATCAGAGTTGGACCCGCTCTCATTCCCATTATCGATTGGTGATGCTTGCGAGAACCTGTTTCGCACGCGTGCTGGAAAGTCTGCTGGCGGCATCAGAAAAAATGACTGTGGCGGCATGTCTCTCGCATAATTGTCTGAATACTGCGACTTATCACGGTTGGGCGTATTGTGTCGCCAGCGTGTGCCAAAAGTGCTTCTGTGCTAGATGGACTCATATGCACGACTGGGGAGGAGGATGGTCGAGGAGGAGGGGGAGGATGGAGGCATGGGGAGGTGAGGTACGAGGAGAGAGGTCAGGCACTTCCGCCTGGCCCACTCCCTCTTGTTCTCCCCCTGAGACCCCTATCCTACTGCCTCCTGTGAAGGGGCCCGCAACACACACAAATAAATACACACAAATAAAAATATTCACCATATTTTCACATATTTTCGGGGTTTTTGTCTTCCCCCCACTTCCCATATTTTCATATATTTTCCTAGGGATCGACGATTAATTGTGTCTGTGTTTCTCCCCCTCCTGATCCTGGTCCTCCTGCTCCCCCCATGGCCGACCAGCCATAACTGGGGGAGCTGTGGTCCTTACCCCCCTGGGGGAACCCATCGCATCGACGATCCCTCGAGAGGGGTGTCAAAATCGATGGGTCCCCCAGGGGGGTAAGGACCAAAGCTCCCCCAGTTGTGGCCGGTCTGCATGAACCTACACGAGCATGAATACACGAGGACCGCACTGTAACGCACCCAGCGGGTGCGTGCCAACTAACGGCCCTCCCCAGAAGCGTCCTCGTAGCCCGCGTTGTCAGAATCGCGGACGGTGAAGTAGAAGACCTGCGATGGGATAACAATCCCGCCTGGTTCACACCCGCGTGATCTTACACTTCCAAAGGGCATCCCACTTGTTGGTTACATGTGTGCCAGCTTGTTGTAATTTTGATGGAGCTTCCACCCCGCATCCCTGTTAGTCATTACTGCTCGGGCCCATGTCCACCCGAAGACCGACAGACAAGCTGCGCGGCGGAGGTGTTGTGTCAACCTGCAACGATTCCAACGAGACGATGTCAGATGTGTCAGATGTTATACTTTCTGGCTTCTGGTTCCAATGTTGGAGATGGTGGACGAACGCGCGAAGACCCCTGGCTAGAACAACCTCGTCACCTTGTTGGAATCGCGCCCTCAAACTGTATGGGGAGTGCCCTGGGACACATAAAGAATACTGTAACTTCGCGCCCCCGACACCGCAATCCCGAACATCTTACATTGCGCTCGCGGTGCCGAGGCCACAATCACTTGTACTTTTCGAAGAACTCGCGCCCCCGAGGCCCCAATCTCTCGATACAACAGCACGCGTTCGCCTCCACGATCACACAATCCACTTGAAATCACAAAGCTTTCGCCTTCCGACGCCAACATCCCGCGTAAATTACGTCGTGCTCGCGCACCCGAGGCCACAAACCGTTGTAACTTACGAGGCGCTCGCGCTTCTGAATCCAATCCAATCGGAGGAGTGCTCCACTCATCTTCCTCCTCCTCCTCCTCCACCTCCTCCTCGTCCTCCACCTCCTCCTCCTCCTCCTCCTCCTCCTCCCTCCTCCTCCTCCTCCTCCTCCTCCTCCTCCTCCTCCTCCTCCTCCTCCTCCTCCTCCTCCTCCTCCTCCTCCTCCTCCTCCTCCTCCTCCTCCTCCTCCTCCTCCTCTCCTCCTCCTCCTCCTCCTCCTCCTCCTCCTCCTCCTCCTCCTCCTCCTCCTCCTCCTCCTCCTCCTCTCAGCATCGTTGCATCGTCACCCGTCCCAACGCCCCAGCGGGCCAGGGCTCCTGAAGGCGCCACCAGCCTGCCTCCTCTCCACGGTGGGAAGGTGCGCCACGGACCCCGACGGAGACGGCACAGATCCCCACCCTGGAAAGAAGGTCGGGCAGCGGGGAGCCCTGAGATCCTGGCGATTCTGAAGGGGCCCTGGAACACACAAATAAATATACACAAATAAAAAGATCCCCCATTTTTGTTTCTTCATATTTTCGGGGTTTCTGTCTTCCCCCCACTTCCCATAGTTTCCCATATTTTTCTAGGAGTCGACGATTACTTGTGTCTGTGTGTTTCTTTCCCTCCTGAGTTTTCGCCTTGCTTCGGATCCTGGGACCCTCACAGATCGACCCGGCGCTAAACGTGGCGCAGAAAAAAGGGGCTCCAGGGCTGGATTTTCACGATGTTGCATTTCTTTCGCTGCGTCGGATTTCAGGGAAGTGCATAGCACCCCGCAACTGCGCATAAGAAGTAGGGAGGTGGCGGGAGTCGTCGGCAGGCTGCGACGCTCTGCACCAGCCCGCCGCGGGCGCCGATATTCGTGCACGGTGCACAACGACCCCGCCGCAGGCGCCGATTTTTTCGTCGAGGCATCGTGGGTGGGTCGCGGGGTGCGTCGCGGGGTGGTCGCGGGGTGGTCGCGGGGCGGGTCGCGGATGGGTCGCGGGCGGGTCGCGAGCAAGGACAACGAGAACAACGCGAAAACACGAATAATAAGAACAACACCACGAACAACAGCAGCACCACTAACAACAGCAGCAGTAGCAACAACAACAACAACAACAACAACAACAACAACAACAACAACAACAACAGCACCACCACAACCACCACCAGCAACAGCAACAACAACAACGACAACGACGACAACAACAACTATCATGCTAAGACTGTTCGCTCTGACCTGCTCGCGTACCATTCAACACAGATATCCCAACCCCTCGACACAATGGAAAACATCCCGTCGTCCGAGGTCCTCCGCTTCCTCGTCATTTCCGTCGCTCCGCCTACTCCTCCTCCTTCTTCTCCTGCTCCTCCTCCTCCTCCTCATCATCATCCTTCTCTTCATCCTCTCGGTTCCTCCTCGTCCTTCCTGGAAACCTACCTCCTTCTCCTCCTCTGCCTCCTCCTTCTCCGAGTAGGCCGGCCTCCAACACAGAAAGCATCATCGTCATCATCATCACCCTCCTCCTCCTCCTCTTCTTCTTCTTCTCCTTCTCCTTCTCCTTCTCCTTCTCCTTCTCCTTCTCCTTCATCAGCATCAGCATCAGCATCAGCATCAGCATCAGCATCAGCATCAGCATCAGCATCAGCATCAGCATCATCATCATCATCATCATCATCATCATCATCATCATCATCATCATCATCATCATCATCATCATCGTTCCCGTCTTCAGCACCGGCATCACCGTTATAATCAGACCGCGCATGGTTCTCCCCTGCCGCCGACCCCAGTTCCTTCTCTGGGGTCGGCAACAGAGG